TGAAGAAGAGATGTAAGGGAATGAAAAATGAAGAAATGTGAAATAGTCTGTAAGTATCTACATCTTGAGATGAACATACCAACTGGAGGAGGTGATGGATCCATCCAGTAAAGGTAGAAGGAGAGGTCCTTGGAAAAAGAGGAGTCCAAGGCAGGTACAAAGACAGGGACCTCAAAAAAAAGAGAGGTTTGTGAAAAAGCACATTGAACAGCCCAATAGGACGCAGGAGCCAAACCAGGTCTAAATGATCCAGTAAGCAAGAGGCAGAAGGAAGGGAGATAGAAGAGAAGTGTAGTCAACCTTACAAGGGGGAAAGGCAGAGGAAGGAAAGATTGGTCCAGAGAGAGGAGTAGAAATTGTGGTGGAAGGGAGTGCAAGAAGCATCTATAGGATAGATATCCAAGTAACAGTAATCACAGGCAAGAAGGAGAAGGAAACAGGTCAGGAAAGAAAGATGGTACAAATGTAGGAAATAAACAGCTCAGATGGGACATGTATGAGATTATTCAAAACCTTACTATGGCCTCAGATAGGCATGGGAGTTTGGTGAAGAGGATGGAAGAGAATGAAAATGCCATGAACAAGGGCTCCCAACAACTAGTAAAGACAGACACCAACAAATCATTGATGAACAGTAAGTTAAAAAAGGCAGAAAGGTGGTTCACAGTATGATGGTCAGAAAAAAAGGAGTAGCAGAAGGACCAATAAAAAAGACCCACCACAACTGCCAATAGATAAAGACAGTGGAATGGCAAAAAGAAAGTGACATGAAGGATGCTACTTAATTGGGAAGTCCGGGCCAATGGGCAACATTTTGTGTGTAAGGATGGAAGGGAGATATCCTTCAATGAAAAAGGGATGTATGAGGTTGAAAAAAAGAGACAAAGAGGATACTGGGGAGGGGAAGGGGGAACTGAATGCTTAGCAGACCAAGATTGAGCTGGTCAAAGAAAAGAGATATCAATAATAGGGCCCAAGAAAGAGAATACTGTGTAAGGCCAAAGCCCAGAAAGAGGAGATAAACAGGAGAATAGACATATAGAAAAAGGTAAGATCAATCTTGCTGAGAAAGTCAACAGCTAAAGTCAAAGGGTGAGGAAGAGGGGACCACAAGAGAGGAAGCCCAGAGTTGAAAAGGGTGGCAAATGCATCAAATAGGAGCATGACCAACCTGGAGCAAGCCACATGAAAGTCTCCAGAGATAGAATGCGGATTAGCTGAGAAAAGCAGTTTGCAACCAAGTATTAAACTCCCTGGAAATAAAGAAGCAAGAAAGTCAGCCATGTGTGAATCGGTCTGAAAATATATTTCTAATACCCGAAAGCAAAGGGTCCTGGAATGGGTTCCTCATAGATGGTTGGTGCAAGTAACTACTGTAGAAGAGACTGAGTGGAACATGACCAAGTGATTCATCAGTATGGGCAGGAATGGGAGCATGCCTGACAAATAGAGAAAAGGTTGAGCATGACGATATGGAGTGAACGTGTGTCCGCCATTCAAACATCAAAAATCCTGCACTCAACAGAAATGTATCTCAATCACAGAGAGAAACATCAAAAAAGAGAAAAATCTGGTTTAAGAGGCAGTAATGGAACACAGAAAGTAGTAAGGGCGCAATTCAGTCATCCCAACTTTTTCTCGAGAAGAAGCTCACAAAAGAAGATAGTGGACTGCAAGAAAGAAAATCGTGGGTCTGCAAGGTCCACAGTAAGAGACACATGAGAGTGTGCTCCAAAAAAATGAGAAGTATAAAACCCGGTGATTAAATATGTTATAGTCGAAGAAAATGAATGACAGCCCTGGGCTGTAAATATAGCAAATGAAGGCCCTCACAATACTAGTGAATACAAAAGAGGTCAATGCTAAGCTGATTTGAAGAGCAGGAAAAGGGGAATACAGGAAAAAGATGGGCAAAACATAGAAAACAAATGGAGGAGAAAGAAATTTGGCTAATGAGATGGAAGTAGGAGGTCTAATAAGCAATACATTGAATAATGGCTGTAATGACCCTGGTTTGAGAGCTTTTGTTGCATGATGACATCATCATGCAGTAGCACAGTTCATGTGAAATTAGGTGACAGGTCTAAATTCCAAACAAAGAAAACTCACTTCTGTAATAAGTTTATGTTGTAAGAAATGCAGATGTCTAAAACAATACTAACTTTGATGAAAACCAATCTCTGAAGTGTAGACACACTGTTAGTGTGTGGAAACAGGGCACAAATATTTACTAGGGCAAAGTAACACTGATATTGCTATATTACCTTAGAAATAATCAGTTATTGGCTGAAGTCTTAACTGGATTTCTTTAAACTCCTGCTATGTTGATTTCAGAAAACCTCAAAAACCTTTTACATGTAATTAATAGCCCAATCAAATAAAAACACTGACAAATAATGTTTCTTCTTGATGCTATATATGTATGTGTAATGACACCAGTTTTATTAATTTCTAAAAAATATGGAGGGAAGTCTGGACTCCTTAGATTTGCAGCTACTTATAAAACATTAAAAAATACAGTTATTATTTTCTGAAAAACAAAAGGATTGGGGTCCAGATCCCCTGGACTCTTTTTTTTAGATCTAACCCTTGCTTATATACCATTACAGATTACAGTTATGCAATAATAAATTAGAAACGTAAAACATTTAAAATGAAAACAGTGAGTTTACAATATATTTAATACTTGAGTAGACAGAGTTAGAGGTGGGTGCTGCCAGTTGCCTTCCCTCTAATCAACAGTTCAAAATTGATTAGTTTATGTAATACTATTTAATGTGTAATCCCTGCTCATAGGTAATTTATTAAATCACCTAGCTCTATTAACCACAGTGAAATAATGTAACTTTAAAGAAGAGGAGGCCATTTTAGTATGACAGATCAACCATAGAATAATAGGACAAAGACTAAAGAATGCAGAATACTCCACTAGATTCTTATATCTTGTAAAATTTGTCTTAGCTGAACACAGTTACTAAACCAACCATAACAAACTGAAACAAACATCAAATTCTGCCTAACAACCTTTTCACTATACATTAATACACACAGACACACCAACAGTTCTTAATCATGACCACAGCCAAGTGATCAGTGATACTTGGATTTCCACTACTCCCAAATGATACAACCATGAAGATGACACCTCCAAAGACAGCTTCAACACAACCACATTACCCGGTCATTGCAGCTATACTGATGATGATACTGACTACACCATAAATAAGAACTCTGCCAAGGTTTAAACAACTAAAATAAATCAATGCAATGCAGAAGATTAAATAATCTAAGAGAAGCATCAGTACAGAATAAACATAAAAAGTACACCACACTTATGTATGAAACTTTGTGAATGGACAGCAACTGCCTGTTGTAGAAACACAAGTGTAGAGGATGATGTTTCGAAAGTCTTACATCTCTACACTAGAAACGTCATCCTCTACACTTGTGTTTCTACAACAGGCAGTTCTATCCATTCAACAAAGTTTCATCATGAATACTCTGCCTAAACAATCTATCAACCACATGAAAGAGTAATAGTATGCATTTTTATTTTACAAAAACAGTGTAGAGATTGAAGAATGGAGATGTATTTATGTATTTTATTTTTCACATTCATTTAGCTAATATAGGGTATTGTGTACCTTACACTCCTCAGTACAGAGCCTGAAATACTTCAAGAAACAAGACAGAAGCAACCTATAAGAAGCTTCATTACAACTAAAGTAAATTATGTTTGATTTTGTATTCTTTTTGTATTAGCAGGTACATGTACTTTCAAATTTTACTGAAGATAAAAGGGGAATTTACCAAAGTATCCAAAAAATGTTTTTCACTACTGCTGTGGTCATACTGTTTATCACTGAACTAAGACCTCCACCTCAGGAAAATCGTTGACTACTAATAGTATTTAATTCTTACTTAAATCAATGAAATATATATAAAAAACTCCAAGCAAAGAATTTGTTTATATCTAATAAAAAGATACAAAAAAGTTTATTTGATTTTATAAAATAAATAATCAGATTACTATACAAAGTTTATTAAAGACAAAAATAAGAAACTCAATAACCAAAACACTTTCAAAAACTTCCCAGTTTGCCCCTGATGAAGAAAGGTCTGCCTTTATAAAGCATTTGTCTTCTTAACATCATTAATAAAAAGTTTTTTATGATGTTTGACAGTATAAAATATTTTTAACGTCCTTAACTTTTATTTCTATAACATGATTCAAAACAAAAAAAAATTAACATAATCCTAAGTTAAACCACTGTTTAAATTATATAACAATACTATTAATCCACAGAGAAATATAATTACGAACTATTCTCACTTTAAAATTAGAAGTTATTTTCCAAGAAAAGAAGGCTAATTATGTAAATAATGTAATATATTACAGTAACCAATGCTAACACCAGAACTGATTATAAACACAACTAGTAATAGGGCTAGTTATAAACAAAACTTTGGTTATAAGAACTATAAACATAACTATTTTGTCATTTTAACTAATTATAGCACTAAGACTCCAAATATTATGTACAAAAGTTTCACTGTTAGAATAACTGGTTTAATTTGTTCAGTAAAACATTTCAAATTTGTGCTATTTAGAAAGGAAGTTTTTCTCACCGTTACATGAATTATAGAAAATTTGCCTTAACAAAATAAGAAATATTTAGATTATAAAATGCCAAACTAAAATACTGCCAGTTCTTAATCCACTTTAAGTTGCATCTTTAAAAAAGTTGCAGGTTCCTCGCTGTGTAAAATGTTTATAAATATACTTATTATATAAAATAATATTTGATAAGTCTTTATATACACAAATATAACATTACTTAGTGACTATGAAAATGAATTAAGCATTATCTGAAACAATGAGTTGACTGTTGGTGTATTTGAAATTTCAAATTTGGCAGTCTCTTTTACGATAATCACGAGTTTTATTATATAACTGTTTTTGTACCATTGTTTATTTTTATTTTCCTATCTTTACCTACTTATTCTTTTTCATTCGGTATTTCCTTTTCATTCTGAGGTACCTTCTTTTGGTCTTTTTGAACAAATGTTAGATAGGTGTAGACGACACTTCCTAGCATACTAAATTAGAGAAAGAAAGAAAAAACTAACAATTAGACAATATATCCTAGTGTACTACATTAAGAATGGGCTGAAGTAAATTTATTTATGAAACTCTACTACCTAGCCAACATAGTTAGTAAATTAAAGTAATTTTAAAGATGAGGTCCCATGACTATAACATTTAAATACACTTTGATATTTATTGGTTTACATAAAACCCTACAGTTCCATACACCTACATTACACCAAATGATAATGCAGTTCCATAACTAAAAATTGAAAGATAAAACTTCTCAAGCTAGAGAGGACCAGACCCTAACCGCTTTTACATTTTGAACTTAATTCATTCCAACGTTTAGCATTGCTGAACACACAATTACACTACAATAAAATAATTATAACATCAAATCCATGTCTGTAGGATTTTGCTAATGTCCACAGATTATATTTGCAAGGCTTGGGTTGATTACAGTTAAGTTATGCATGATTAAAATATAATTTTCATTATAAGTTTTTAAATGTATTAAAACATGAAAGAGTACACTTTACCTTATGTTGAGTCCTACAAAGTTTGCAATGCTGAAGACATAATCTCCTCCAACATACATTCCAAGATAGGTGACTAGAATATTCTGTTTCATAGTGAAAACCTTCACTCATTATATAAGTTGACAACAAATACTACATTTAATTACAAATCCAGTGTTTAATAATGTAGAAAACATGTAGCCTTTAACCATATATTTAAAAAGTCCATAAAATTCACAAATGAATTACAAAAATAGTGGATAAATGTATAATACTTTAAGCTTATAAAGTTCCTAATAATTGTTTTAGTTATTGTATAGTATATAAGCAATATATCTTTGACCCAGAGGAGTAATGTCTGAGAATACTTAGAAAGTTATGTTTAATTCAAATTATTAAGTTTCTTGGTTTTGCTGGGGCAGCACTGCCCAAATGCTTACCTGCAATGTACCCAATACAAAGAAGGAACCCCCCAAATGTTAGAGTTATAAACCCTCAAGTGGTTGTAAAAGCAAATCAAAGTGTAAACTTTTTCTGTCATGGGAAATAATGACTTCTACTTTTATTTAACAGGAAGTTGCTTTAAAAAAACAGAATTAAAAAAAAAACTTCAAACTTAAATTCTATTTGTCTTTATATGCATATTAGTCCAGATTCAATGTCAAATGAAGTTATTTTTTAAGCATATTTGCAGAAACTAGTAATAACAGAAATGTTAAAATGATAAAACACAAAAGAACTGTATCAACAAAACAAAAACACAACATTAAAACCACAAATGGTTCATATGGAAAAAATATATATATATATACTGAAAGAAAGTGTATATCAAGTACAATACACTAGTAAAAATATACATGAAAAATTAACCTTGAGACAGCCAACAATTGTTGTTGTTAGTGGAGAGTTGTAGTGAGTGCAAACTGCTGTTGCATACATAAGAATGAATCCCATGGCACATGAAAGTAAAAACCATGTTAGAAACCATGGATTTGCCCACTGGTCAAACTCACTCATCTATAGAGACAAAAAAATATTATGTAATACTTGTTATAACAAGTTTGTACTAGATAAGCACTGTACACCTACTTTCATTATGTCATTCAATATAGGTAAAAAGAATGATGAATACATGAATTATTAATTTACTCAACATTTTATGATATATACTCATACTGAAAGAATATTAGAGTTGCTAATATACTGGTATGAGATAAAAAAATTGGTTACTTGTATTAATGAATAATTAGTATTCTTTATGTAGGTTCAATCTCTCACCTATGAATAGAGAAACACATTAAGAACACCTAGTATGAAAACCAAAAAGAAAAAAAACATCATAAGTATGAGAAAACTAACAGCTTGTTTAATATGGTTAGGTACTGATTAAAGAAAATAATTTTCCAGTATAGCATCTGCTAGTAGTTTACCATGGTGAATATGAATATCTCCTTTTTAATAAAAACACTTATTCTGCATTCAGAAGGACATAACTGATTGGAAAATTATTAACTTTATTATAATTGTTTTTTATGCTACCTTCAATTTTAAAGATTTTTGAATCCTTTATTACAGATAACAATATGTAAATATTTTATACTGATTTTATAAATAAAAACATTTACATAGGTACAAACTTTGTATCATACGAGTAATGATATATATATAGCTACTTGTTAGATTTATTTTCATTTTTTTTAATACTAGTTTATTTAAAATACCAATCATTTTGTTCATTTATTTTTACATGCACAGGCAGTCTACTTTCAATAAAAAAAAGAAGTTTGTCAAATATAAGCAATTTCATTCAGTGGCCTACCAACAAAAACTCTAACATTACAAAAAAAAAAAGGAAAGTGAGTAGAATGACGTAAAAGGATATCTAAAAGTACCAAACATAAGTTAGAAAATATGTAATAGCTTGTTAGAAACTTACAAAGGAACACATACAATTAAGTAGTTTATAATTGATTCAAAATTAATATATATATACTAAACACTACAATAAATATATGAAAACAGATAAACAAAAAGAAAAAAAATATTCACTTTTTAGATCTGGGGTTCTTCAAAGAAGAAGTAACCCACACAAGTAAGAAACAAGAGTTATCAAATACCCATGTTGCAATGAAAGTCTTAAGTATCTTGATATTGGAGAACTATATTTTTCTGTACAATTGGGCCAGAAAAGTTTAAGTTCTGTGTGTAAAGGTTAATAATAAATGGCCCTAGAATCTTAAAAAAAATTTTCCCAATGTTATTTCTCTCCTTTTAACTTCCATTCACAATCATTGAAATGCATTTGCAACAATCACATATTACAAGGTGTTCAACAATATTTACTTTCTTTAATACTGTGCATGCTTTTTTAAAATTAATTTTATGTTTCAGTGAAAAGCCTCAGTAGGTTTTCCTAACTTCACAAGTCAGTGGGTACTGTTAGAAACCCATTCCTAGTGCAAATTCAGCTAGTTTCATTATAATCTATTACATTTCAGAAATGAAAACAGAATGAGATTTTTTTGGTGTAAATATGTCTGTACATGACAAGAAAAAATGTACTTTCATTACTTGGAAAATTATCTGTACAAATACAACAGAGATTCCACATGACAATGCAGCTGTTTTTAGCATTCACATTTGAAATAATAATAATTATTATTATATTAGGTTAGTATCTTACAATTATTTTAAGTTATTATTCTATAAAATCAATAACTTGGAGGTAAGATCTTTTAATATCAAAATACATAGCTGTTGATATTATCTCAAACTGAAAACTTTTATAGGAGTTCCAACAGTTGATATTTAGTGGGATGAATTAAGACATGATTATACAATGGAACTTTCAACAGCAGTATGTCCTAGCCTCCAAATTTCACATTTTAGTTTCAAAACAGGAAAACACTCATTTAAAATACACATTTATCCTTACAAAATTGATCCATAAAGTTTTTTTGTAAATTTCTGTAATAGAAGTATCCTTTTAAATGTTATCTAGCTAACCTACTTTAGTTACAAATAGTACATAAAGACATCACATTATACTTTTTCTATGTAGTGTTTTTAAATTACTTGAAATACAAATCAGTCTGACCTTTTCAAAATCTCCAGTCATCCAAGTTATACATGTTAAGGGAATAAGCATGAAGAGAGCGTTATAAAAAAGAAGTCCAAATTTACCAAGTTCCTGTAACAGAAATAAAGTGTTTTAAGATTTTGATAAAATCATTACTTTTAACTATTACTTTCCTACAGATTCCTGATTGGAGAATGACAAAAGCTTCATTAGCAAATAACATAGTCTGTGACAAACCATGTAATTAAAGAAAACATTAATCCATTCATTGTAAAATGAAAATAATAATACTCATAAAAAGGAAAATACACTGAAATTTGTCATCTACACCAGTGTTTCCCAACCTTTACTTGCCAAAGGCATACTGACTTTAATAAAAATGTAGTGTGGTGCACCAACTTCCTCAGGCACCTTATTAAAACTTGGCCTAACACATTGCTTTTATTATCACATGAAGTAGAAAGTCATAAAAACATGATGTAACATTTCACACCAAAAGAATGAGACAAAAGACACTTTGGTTCCATTGACAAAACTAATTTATAGAAACAATACATTTCATTTACTTATTCTTCCCATGTGTGACTTTTCCAAAACTCTTTGGTACACTACTACATCATGGCACACTGGTGGGAAAACACTGATCTGCACTGAAATATTTAAAAAATGTATCTATTTTCTGCTTGCACTCGATTCCAACTTCGTCACCAAAAGATTAGGATTAGTAGCCACTACAATTTCAATTCATTATATATTTAGGTATCAGAACTTGGTTTTCAAGGTACAAAGTCCTACACCTGACAGAATTTGGTACCAGCTACAAACTTTCTGCAGTGAAAAATGTGTTTAAGTTTTTATCATGCACGTAACAGCTACCATTATGAAATGGAGTGTATGTAATCCACCAGTTGCTTCATAGATCATACTAGGCAAGGGTCAAGAAATATGACTGCCCAATGTCCTGGGAATACTGCTTGGTTGTGCCAGGCCATTAGAAACTGAGTGTTCACAATCCTCATGGGAAACCTAACTTTTGGTAAGAATATTTATAAAAACTGTATGATCAAAATAATTCCCATCTCAGAATTTTTTTAATTGAAAATGTACACGCTTGAAATCTCACATTATTCAATTACAATTTATTAGCCACTAATTGTTAAAGTGGTCATTAATGCCAAAAGAAGTTCTAGCATACACCTGACAGCAAATGAACAACATGAATCTGCTAAGAATCATTTCACAGAGGGGGTATAAAAAGAACTTGCACTGGCAAGAACAAAGCCAAATTCCTTAAACTAAATTAGGAGGGAAAGAAAGTTTTTTGAATCGTGAAGGAAGACCTTTAGCTGGACTAACTTCAATGGGAACTAATCTTCTGCACAATTCAACAACTTTTGTTACACTTTGGATTTTGTTTTTCTGTGTTGGTTTGTTGAGTTTTATTTTAAAACTGTTGAAAATGTTTGTTCAAATCTTTTTATGATGTTTTTACATGACAGTGAGTTACTTTTTAATTAGAATTTTTGAAAAACATTTATGGCATATAAACACATTTTAATTTGAAAATATTTCAATCTTATCAATTTATTATTGTAATAAATTGTTTTATCTTATACATTGCAGTTACTTTTATTTTTCATACTATTTTGTGTTGTTTTATGTTACTCTAATAGAATTTATTATAATTTCAATAAAAGCAATGTTTGAATTGTAAATAAGCATCTAATAACTTGACATTTAGTGCATAACAATTTTTAAACAATTGTTAACTTTGGAGCAGGTAAATTTTTGGTGAGATTGTCCAAAGGAACAATACCTGAAATTTGTTGAACTTTGTAACTCTCAAGAAGTTGATGATATGAGCAGTTTTAAAATGTGAGCTGTAGCTTAAACTAAAATATACAGAGCTCTTATAGGACTTGAAATATGTGTGTTTGAATGTATGATGCTTAAAAAATGTGCATATATAGATGCTGAACTTGCCTACACTTAAATTATTTCAACTTGTATAAGAATATTCTGAGAACCTCAGATAAAACTATCTCCAATGAGAATCTACTAAATTTACATTATGCTATGAACAATAATTGCATCTTAGTGATACCCATACACACACACAAATTGTTAGTCAAGTCCATTATGCTTCACTAGTAGACTAAAATATCTAGGAGTCTTCATTTAATAGTTGCTATTTAAAGTATTAAACTACTTTATCGGATCTCAACATAACTTGCAATAACTGCACACTTTGTCACCAGGTAAAATGATATTAAGTTATATTCACAAAAGTAGTTAATATAAAAATTGGCAAACCACAAAAATCAAATCAAGTATAATATTTATCAAACTGGAGAAATCAAAACTAACATGAAAAATGTTAAGAGGTCTAACACTGCTTAATAACCCCTGTTTTGTTACTACATCGTAGATTTCAATAATACATCACCCTAACAGTGTAATTTTCTAAGTTTATTCACATTTAAAATTCTCATCAATCAACATCTTAACAGTTGAAAGTCACTGGCTAGCCACAACAGACAAGACAAAATTAACATACATCTGCATACGTTGATTTTTTTTATAACATGTTACTTTATTTTGACAACAAAGTTATCATGCTAAACATTATACAAGCAGTTTCTGCTGATATACTGCAGTCAACTTTTTCAAGGGTGTATTTTAAAGCTCTTGCTAAACTAAGTTTATCTCCCTTATACTCACCCTACTTTGCAACTTCTTCTTTATATATACATTGTTAGCTGCTGTGCAGAAATCATTGGACAATACATATGCATAGCCAACAAGCTCGAATGCTAAATCAGCACTGTAAAAAATAAAAAGTCTTTAGTTTTTAAAGTTGTACTTTGTAACTGCAAATGCACAATACACTTATGTAATTATCAAAAAAATGTAAAACAGTTTACTAACAACCATACTGGTTTGTAAATTAATTACTTAAAACAAAATTAAGATTTTACCATGGATTACTGTATATGTGTAAAATGTGGGATAAATGAAAGAAAAAAACCCCTGAAACAACAATTTAAAGGAGTTAATCTACTGTTATTAGGTAACAACTCTTTCACTGTTATCAGTATATGTGTGTAATACAAAGGTAGAAAACAATTCCAAATAGGCCCCTGATCACATTGCTGAATGTAACCAGTAAATAATAGCATGTGTGGATACAAATGGCTACCCTTCCTGTTTGCTGCTAGACCTTGAGAGTTAATTTTCTTGCAGCTTATAGAACATACATTCCATAAAGGTGTTTGTGCAAATTGGTAGCCAAAAAGTAATTAAAGTGAACCGTAAAAAATATATTTCTAAAGAGCTAAGTTTTCATATTTGGTTTCTAGAGGAGGGATGTGTGAAGAGAGTCCACATGCCTGCCTAGAAAAGCTTGTCTAAGAGCCAAAGAAGAAAAGATGGAAAAGAATGATGAACAGAATGCAAGCATCAACATCCTGAGACAAACTAGTCAATAGAGGAGTCAATGGATCCCTCTTGGAAAGGAAGAAGGAATGAAGTTCATGACAAATAGGGGCCCCAGAAGCAAGACAGCAAAAGATGAGGACCCTTAAGGCAAGAGTTCTATGATAAGGCATACAGTACAACAGGATACAGGAGCTGAACTGGGCCTAAATGATCCAATGGAAAAGATAGATGGAAGGAAGTGTGATAGGAGAAAAGTACCCCCAAGCAGTCAAAGATTTAAGAAGAAAGGATTGATCTGACAACTGAGAAGGGCAGAGACCTAGAATCCTTAGATGAACAGGTTGGTAACACAGGAAAAAAAGGTGGTGCATATAATTACTGCTTGAAGGAAGTGGATAGCAGAAGGACCAAGGACAAAAGACTCGCAATCAATAGTGACAGACAAACAGAGTAGAAGGAGAAGAATAATGTGATATGAGAATAGCGTCACATTAGTGGAAAGTCCAGTTTGATAGATGACATACTAGGCAAATTCCATAAATGAGGGTGGAGCAAGGATAACCCTGAATGAAGAAGAGAAGTGAGATAGTGCAAATCAAGAGAAAGAAGGGATAGTGGAAAGAGATGGGGTGGGTCTGTTGAATGGGTGCATCAAGGCCAAGTTGATCTGAGAGGTGACAAGAAAAGAGCCCAAGAAGGACGGTAGTGTATAAATCCAAGGTATAGAAGGATGAGATGAATGAGGAAGTAGGTATAAGGAAAGAGGTATGACCAGGCCTGGTTGAGAAAAACGACAGTCAGGGCCAAAGGAAGAGAAAAAGGGAACTGTAAGAGAGAGGAAGCCTGGAGTAGATAAGGGTAACAAGTCTCCAATCAAGAGTAAAGCCCATGGAAGATCTTTATGTGCAGATGCTATTCCATTGACACAATAAGGACTAACTGGCGGCTTGTCAACAAGAAGGAAGCTCTTGGCAAATAATGAAAATGACCATAGGAGTGTATAGATAATGGCCAAAAACAAACAAGCCCTGTACCAAAAGAATGGTGAGAGGAAGGAAAGGCCATGGAAAAGTTTGAGTGGAACATGAAGTGAACTATCAGTAGAAGTAGGAATGGGAACATGCCCAACAGAGAGAGATAAGGTTGAACATGTAGATGGGGAGTGGATTCTAGTCCAATGTACAAATGTCAGAAGACCTGCCCCCACAAAAAGTGTACCCCAATATGAGAGGGAGTCATTAAAGAAGAGAGAGATCTGGTTTGATAGGTGGTAAGGAATTGAAGGAAATAAGAAAGGCATGGACCAGTCGCCATGAAAATTCGTAGAGAAAAGGTTCACAAAAAATGACAAAGAACCCTAAGAAAGAAAACCCAGGATCCATAAGGTCCACTGTCAGAGATACATGCCTCAAATGAAGTAGGGATTCTAAAGAAGCCAGAGTCTTCAAAATGGAAAGAATTTCTTACACAGGGTAAGAATAAGAAGTGTAAAACCTGGAGACCAGATAAGCCATAGAAGATAGGCTGAACTCGGCTGAGACTAGAAAAGAAGGAAATGTCCAAGAGTATCCAACAATGAGGAGGTGTGAGAAAGGACTCAGATCCCAAAACAAGTCCTCTACAACCAAGCAGCTACCTTAACAGGAGGAAAGAAGGAGAAGAGGAAGCATCCCATAATTGGTTAACAGATATAAAATCAAAGAAAAGGAATACCTGCCACAGGTTGTGAATATGGGAAGTGAAGGCTCCCCCAATACCATTGAATACAAGAGGGGCCAATACTAAGGCAAAAGGAAAAGTAAGGGGTAGGAAAATGCAAAAAAGAATAGATGGGACAGAGAAAACAAAGAGAGGACGGGCTGAGAGAGACCTGTAGGAAGGTGTCTGACACACTGACCAACAGCAAGAAGAGAGAAAGGTAAGCACAAAATTGTACATGTGTGATAGTCACTGGCAAGAAGAGTAATGAACAAGACAACTGCGAGAGGTAAGATGCCAGAAAGAGGATGGCCTGTATTCTGGAATAGAAGGTAAAAAGAAGACTGATCTAGACAAGGAATACGAGTAAAGGGCAAGGTTGAGAAAGAGGAAAAAACCTGGGAATAGAATGAGGAAAGAAGTCATATATTATCATACCAGGTCACCAGGTGGGAAAAAACCTCACAGAAGACATCCTAGCAAAGAAAGGGAGCCAGACGAAGAATCTGACTCAATGAGTTTGGTTTATTTTGAATTTTGTGCAAAGCTACGTGAGAGCTATCTGTGCTAGCCATCACTAATTTAACAGTGAAAGACTAAAGGGAAGGCATCTAGTCTTCACCTTCTACTGCCAACTCTTGGGCAACTCTTTCACCAATGAATAGCGGGATCAACCATCACATTATAATGGCTGAAAGGGCAACATTGTTCTGTGCAATGAGGATTTGAACGTGCAACTCTCAGATTGTGAGTCATGTGCTCTAACCATCAGACCATGCCAAGCTAACTCAATGAGTCCTGACAGCAGGTAAACAAAGTATAAAAGAGCAGAATAAGTGGAACAGGCCATACAAAGAAGGGAATGAATGTCCTCAGAAGTTATTAGAAGCAAGAAGAAGTGCCACAGAAAAAATGTGGCAGTAGGAGAGGGAATACAGAAGGGTAGAGAGAAAAAGTCAAAAATGTGAAGATAGGAAACTAGAAAGTGAAAAAAGAAGACAAGGGCCCCAATCTCGAAGCTGGTCAGGTTGAAATCAATGACAGCGAATCAGGAAGGGAAGGGGAAGAAAGTTGACAAATCTTGACAAGTGGCCACGAATATAGGGGGGGGGGGCAAAGTATTCGTCATCAGAAAGGAGCTATTACAGAAAGTAAACAGTATAAATCCTAATAACAAGCAAAGAGAATAAAAGATAAACCTGAGAAACATAGGTCATACAATGGGAAAATGAAAAATAATAAAGAAAACAGGCAAAAGAGAAGAAAACGAACATACCTGAGAATGAAATCCAGTAATAGATGGAAAGGTTAAGGTCATTTAACGAATGGTTGAATACTACCTGATACAAAGTAGCTGAAGGAAGTACCCTAACAGATCATTCCCCATTGAGGAGAAGGAAATCCAGTCAATGAGAAATGAGTAGGAGGCCCATTGAGAATGAAGTAATCCACAATATATTTAACAATGGTTGCTATAACCCTGACAGTTAATGGGCCTCTAAAAGTCCCAGAACAAATAAGGCCTAGGTGTGAACAAGGTTCCACACTCCCAACTAATTATAAATCACTATCAATCGAGAAGTCATGTTATAGTATTAAAGCTTTTGAAATAAGAGTTAAAGAAATGGAATATCAAAGTTTTGTTAATGATACAAATCTCATTCAACTGAACACAAGCAAGTAATTTAAACCTGTCTGGTCAATACAGTGACAAGGAGAATGTAGGTTCATATGTGAAATGTAGACAGAGTCATTGCACACAGAAGTGTTTCGTACTCCTAGTGGTGGATAGTTCTACTGTGTAATGACATCATCATGCAGTATCAAAAAATTCACATGAGATTAGGTGAGAGTTTTCACAAGGCTGGTGGCTATCAAATCTTTTTGGTAGAAGGTAAGGAAGATAGTTATTGTGTGTGTACAGGAGAGTATTCATTTTGGAATAGATATTGTTGTAGACTGTTTTTTAACAAGGGCTTCTTGATCATATGATCATGACGTCATCAGTAGCCCACAATAATAAACAACTACCATTTTGTGTGACTCTCAACAGATGCAATTATGATATTCACCAAGAACTCTTCTTTGTATTATAAATCTTTGAATCATCATGATGCAGAAACATATACGAATAAACTGAAAACTATTAAGGTTGATCCACATACAATCAAAACAAACAATTTTATATGCTTGCATTGATCTCTTTCATCAATTAAGATTCATTTTTAATAACACAAGGCTCATTAACATGCAAGGTTTTCAGTATAAAGCATAAGTTGTATGTAATTTTACTATTTTCATTGCTTCTATTATACTTCTATTGTTAAATATTTCTATAAATGGCTATAAAATACTTATAAATAAGCCTAAAACTTTAAAGAAACATCTGTCTGTTACAGTATGAGTAAGAGTTAATGTTAAACAATAATTGCTTATAAGCTCATGATCAATGCTTTTGAAAGAGGTACTTCACATGTCAATGTTATCCAATTGCTCTTTGATCATTATCATATTAAATATTACTTTTCAAGTAGTTAACATGACTTTTATAGTGAAAATATACTATATCATATGCAACTACTGTACTTCTTGTGCATCTCATTAAAAAAAACCTTGTATTTTATTAATTTCTGAAAAGTGTTAAGCCATATACTGTACATAGCTGGCCTATTGAAGACAGGCTATAATGTGTAACTCTGCTTTTCTTGATGCTACACATTCTTGTATGAGTTATTAAGTAATGGTTATGAGCTGAAGTACTAAAATATACAGCATTAATGGGTATGAAATGCTTAATGGCTTAATATATCCATGGTACACATCTCTTCCAGCTAACATTCATAGTTCAATATATATATGTAACTTATACTTAATATGGAGCATTAACATATAGCTTTGTTGAATGCAATAAAAGCAATGAACCTGTGAATCACATGCAACATGCTCTTGTTTAAGAAAAATAATGAATTTAAACATGTATGTGCTTAACATATGTTTTACAAGCTTATATGTAAATATCTGGTTTAATTGAAAGATAGGATCTTGTTTATTACTTGCTCAGGAATATATATAATCCTATTACGTTATTGTTACAATGTATTGCCTCTTGTAGAAAATAGGTAAGGCATCCCTATTTCAGGGGTTCAATACTAAAACATAAAATAGCTATTGACTATGACATTTTGCATGCTTTGTGTAATGGCTAACTGATAGTCAGAGTTGACACATATATGAACGGTTAGCCTAATAACTATAAGTTAGGCCACTTAATAAAAAAATGGTGTAGTAAAAAAGTATGAAATCTAATATAAAAATATATTATTTATCTCACTCTACTTTATACATAAACTGTATTCATAATGTACATATAATAATTTATCTAGCAGATGTTGAAAAAACGTATAACAAAGATGTCAAAGTTGCATTTATATTAATGAGTGCATAATAGGAGTGCCGATCAAACTCACTTTGAGTGACATCAGTTAGGAAGTTTCTATTTAGACACTTGTATTGTTGTTTGGTCAAAGGGAGGTTTGATGTCACATTCTGAGTGCATGGCTTAATGTCTGTTTTTTCTCTGAAGTTGTAGAACAGTATGAGTCAGATATGAAGAGCAATGTTAGGCTAGAGTTAGCTAGCCTATTACTAAGTTATATAGAGTCATAAGTAGATATATTATTTGGGTTCTGTGACTATTAAGTTTGTGTTTTGAAAAAGTAGTAAGAAGTATTTTGTAGAGTAATGGAATTAGCAAGTAAATTAAGTTGTTGTCTTATCATTTTCTGTGAGATGAAATTAATTACATAAAATCACAGAACACTGAAACATTAGAATTTGTAGTCCGAGTAATATGATTTTGTCATTGTTAAGTGGACTGGACTTTGCATTTTTATTTTTTACTAAATAATCCACAAGAACACACCCAACAAGTTTAACATAACAGCAAATGTACAACGTTTCATCTGAAATATATACTTAGTCACAAATGAAGACAAAGCTGCTATTATTATAATAAACTGTAATAAAATATATTGACTTTATTAATAATCATACTCAAATCAAAATCTCACCTAGCTGCTATAATTGATCCTCCCACCATGGCAAACACTGTCACCACAATGCTGGTAGGCTGACTCACCCTAAAATAAATAAATTACTTTCATATTTGTGTAAATACACAGTATAATATCTATCTATTTGAAGGATTAAAGCATCATTGTTTATGCTTTATTCGCCATAGCTACTTAAACTTTTATTATTCATTTAATTCTTTCATGTCTGGTTGGGTGCAGTCTGTATTGAGGGCAAAACTGCACTATTAAATTAAAACTAATATAGAAAATAAACTTGTAATCGTTTTTCTGCACATTAGATAATACTTGACAGGAGAAATGTTTCATTTGATTTCAACAAACTCGCAGTGAAATCATTAAAGTTTGTGAATTTCTTGAATTTTTTTCTAAGCATAATTTAGCATTTGATTTTTAGTTAATCACTGTTTCTCAACATTGATAATCAGGATATGATATTATTGCCTGTATCTCAGCTTTGAAATATCACAGGCTGTAGTGATCTAAACACAAAATAAAAGCAGATATGGCTTCCAGTTCCAACAGAGATTTGCATTAAGAATGGAACAAAGTGGTAAAAATTTAGCTTGGTGATATTTTGTTAGAATATAAAAGGTGTTTGTGAACAACTTATGCTATGCTTACAGTTTGATATTCCTTAAACTTTTCAAATAGCTTGTTTTATCTTATTATACTTCATTTTAATTAATATTGGAAATGTTGTTTGTGGAATAAGATGAGATAGGCTCAGTTAAATTAATTTGCACTTGATCATATCAATTTTTGATTTTGCTGACAAGGCTACTGAGTTAGGCTTCATTTGTATTAGGTATTATCAGCCTAAACTGCTTCATTGGGCAAAGAAAACTGGGAAAGAAAAGAAAAAAAAAAAATAATATAATATATACATATATAAATTGATAGCAAAATGGGGTTAACTCTTGTTAGAAATACTGGACTAAACATCATGATTGATAATTAAAAAACAAGTCAGCTTGATTTTAATTTTGGCATAGTAAACTGAAAACATACTTCCAAATACTTACCTCCACTCATAAAAGCTTTTTCTATTAGAAGTGCCCTCTATCGGTTCAAATCTTCAACTCTCGCTGCATGTCCCATGTGAATGATCATACAGCAACCCTCCACCAATAGGAGTGTGACACTACTCCTATCGCAACTAGCACCTTCTCTAATAATGCATCTGTTAACACTTTTGTGACAGGCATTTTTTACTTTAGTGACTTACATTTAAAATTTTATTAATCTACTTTTTGCTTATGTTATACCAATTAGTATAGCATAAAACATTAGCTAATAATCCATCTTTTAATAGTATATAAGTATGTAAAAACAGGGACCTCTTTAGCTTAGTTAAGGTTACATTAGGTAAAATAAATAATAATAAAAATATTTCACGAGGCATGCACGTGAGCAGCTCGGAGTAGCTCATGGGTAATGTAATTCAGAAGCATAACATGAGCTGCATGTTCCCCAAATGATTTATAACTTATAATGGCACAAATAGTAGTTAGACACGGTTCAAAGGGCAATCAACGGGCAATAAAACAATATAATTTAATTGTACATGTTACGAGTTTATATTTATTTAGGATAAATGAATGTAGTTTCATGTTACAATTTGAAGTCATTCTAGAAAGAAAAAGAGGGTAATTTAGATTTTTTTTGGTGGTTACAAGATCAGTCAAATTGAACAACCTTTTATAGAGTTAGGGTAGAGAAAATAACAGATAAAATATAAAGAAAATAAACATTTGAAATCTATTTAGGAGGTTTTAGATTACACAAATGAAATTTGAGATTTTTGAGATGAAGAAAAGTATTTTAAATTTTAACATGAAAATCACTTTGCACATGGACTATTTAAAACAAATTCTCGATATATTCATGGCCACATCCTTTTTTAGTTTATTAAAAATACTTCACTAAAAGTAAGAGTTTTTGTATGTGAAAGACTTTTGTTTACTGAAAGACTGTCAAATATCATGAAGATATACACAATATATTAAAAGTTAGTAGTATCAAATCTATAAAGACTCTGAAAAAGTACAAAGAGGTCATGTGGTTGGTCAAATAGACTGAGCCCGTATTGAGAGAATTAATCACTTTACGATTGGCCAAGACCAATGTAACCAATCCACCAGAAGTGGGGAAGACTGATGGGAAGTATGAGAAGAGGTAAGTATCAAACTGGGAGAGAACTATGGCAGGATAGTGATCCAAACCATACATTATTTATTAACCTCAATCCCGGAAAACATAAAAGTGGGTAAGATTAAAGAATGTGCCCCTAGGTGTAGAGTGGCTAGGGCATGACAGACATACATCCAAAAAAAGCCATGCTGCTGGGAACCAAAATCCATGCAGGGGTAGGATGAGGATCATACCATTGGTAAGTCAGCTACAATCCAAAACCTGGCCACCGGACACCGATGTCCATGTTGGGGTAGGATAGAGAATCATACTGCCGGCAAGTTAACTGCAATCCAAAACCCATCTAAGTGGGGGTAGGAAAGAGTATCATACTGGTGGCAAGCCAACTGAAAACCAAAACCCAGCCATCTGGTGAGGGTAGGAAAGAGGATCATACTGTCTTCACCTCAAATTCATGAAACCAGAGGGAATCTCATACCCCCAATCTATGAATGGGCATATGATAACAATGTAAGAAATTGAATGATTGATCCTGGAACATGACATTCAGCATAGAAAAGATGTCTTTGTAATGTAAACCATCTCACTCAAATATATAATGACTGGAACTCCTTGGAAAAATAAGCATTGAGGGATAGCAGAAGGGGAAGAACAGTAGTAATATGCAAGTACCTCAACCATGACCCACAACACGTATGGAGTAACAAGTGTATAAATCCTTGAGGAAATAGAAACATCTGTGATACATGTGAGAGGATCTATGTTGATTGGTTCAGCTCTAAATCCAAAACCTAGCCACTGGGAACCGACATCCACGTAGAGGGTAGAATGAGGGAATCGAATCGAAGGGGCGAACTGCAATTTGACAGCTCACTCCCATGTTACATAGTGGAGGATATCTCGTCATCTACACTAGCAGAACACCACCAACCTACTCTCAAAATTATGTTCTTATAATCATTGATATATATATTATTTGTATTTCATTAACACATTCAAGAGGATGCCTCCACAATCCACCACTTCTGCAGCTTGGAACTAGAAAGAGGTAAGGACTCTCAAGCTCCACTAGAAGCAAAAGGTGAAGAAAGTGAGGTGGAGGATCCAGAGGAAGAACAACACCTGAGACATTGCTATGGGTGACCACGAAATGGAAACCCTATTTTGAAAAGTAGACCATGTCAATTTATTCAATACAAAGCATGGCAGGGATGGGCAGCTATCCCCTTCTTCTTTACTCACATTGTCCATGGGTGAGTATAGTCTGGATGGGCAAATGTATGAAGCAAACCTATTGCAAGGACAAACCTACAGGCAATCTTGTGGAATACCCCAACTCCACAGTGTGCATTACGTGGCCATGGAATCATAATATGTAAGTCAACATGGTCTTACAGTGCGGATTTGAATGGTTAAAGAATACCTAGTCAGGCACCACTCACCACAGAGCAGGGTCCAGAAAGAAAAAGAGGGAGATGTTCCTGAAAAAGAAGAGGTATATATACTAAAAGGTAACTTACCCAGTCACAGTCTCATGAAAGAGTGAAGGATAGCAATAGGTGGATGATGGTACCCTGACAAGGAAGAAACAGCTAACCAAAGCAGAGAATGGGAGATGAACGTATGAGATGTAGACACAGTGCTCAACATACAAAGTACCTCCAATGAACAGTAGGGTAGACATGCAGAGAAAAGGGTAGGTGCATGATCAGAGTGAAGACACCAAGAAGTGATGATGGGAAGAAGGAGACAAGGAATAAAAGACTAATTGAATCACAATCCAAACCCAATGGGTAAGGGAGGAAGTGAAAAACGTCACAGACAAAGAAGTGGAGTAAGGGGAGGAAATGTGGGAAATGGATTTAATAGAAAGATGCATTGAAAACAATGAAGCAACCAACAACATGTACTGGACAGAGAAGGTCATCTGGATCCCACCGAGAAGAAATGTGGAAGATGGTAATAAACGAAAAAGTTGAAAGAAATATACCACATGAGCCACTAAAATGAATGTTAATAAAATCGATTCAGGACAAAAGAATCAAATCAAGCCAAAACAGCTGACAAAACCACAGCAGTACCAGCCAGGAAAGATCAATCAGAAAGACTTAAACTGGAGTGAGATGGATGCAGAAAAAATTGGGGAAAAAGACTGATGGGGTGAGAAAAAGTTAATGTAAACCTGTCTGAAATTAACGACAGCAAGGCAAGTGGATGATGAACCAGAGACCAAAAACAAAAGAGGTAAGTAACTGGAAAGTGATAAAAGATTCAAAAACTTCACATGAGATAGAGCCATCAAAAATTAGGAGGATCGAGATGTCAGTTCTTGGGAGAAAGTCAATTACCATCAAGAACAAAGCACCTGGATCATGACCCTCCAGGAGACGTGTGTCAAGTGTGGGGGTTCAAAAAAGGAAATCCACTGTTTACCTCAAAGGGAACTAGAAGGAGTGTCCCCTTGGCGAGTGATATAAGCCACTGCCCTAAAAAAAAGTCGAAATGAAACAAGATTAGTCAATCTGGACAAGAAGAAAAGTGTGAACTAAAGCACCTTGGACTAGTGGAAGTGTCCGGGTGGAAAGGGGATAAGACCTTTTGACTGTAGACTATTATCCTGAAGCCTCCTACTGACAGAACCACACCCCCCACTTTTGGAGAAGGGCATTAGGAAAAAGAAACAATCCAGAAGAGAGGGGAGGAAGCAATTAACCCGACGTCACGGAGGATATGTTAAACTAACAATGCACATAGACGAAGAGGGAAGGAAGAAAAGTAAGAGGAAAACCCAAAGTAAAGGCTTGGATAACAGAAAACATCTTTGAATGCATTCAAGGAGGAGAATGGATGGTCCCGATGGAAGAGTGTTTACAAATACACACCCCAAAAAGTATAGAATGTGAGGTATGTAACAGGAAAAACTTATCAAACTGGAAAATCCAACTATCTAAGCCAACTGTGGAATGAGTATGTTAAGACGCCTTTGGAAGGAGCTAACCGAAGGTAGTCATCCAATGAATGGTGTTCGTGAAATCTCTCAAATGTGGAAGTCAAGTAAAATGCAGACCACCCTACAAAAGACATATGGAACCAAAACAAGACCAAAGGTCAAGGCATGAAACTGGTACCCAATCACGTGGTGAAAAAAACTGATGATAAGAACGTGTACCAAGAGCATTCTCAGTCATACAGAAACAGCCTATCCAAATATGATAAAAGACTACATATTAAAGCAGGTAAGACCCAATAACTGATTAAGGTGGGACTGATTGATCTAGAACCTCAGTCAGCATCAAGCAAGACGAATGAAGAAACCCTGTAGGTAAGACAGGTAAAAGACAGACAGGTGCCAAACATATAAAATTAATAAAGATTATAATATATAAGAATGAAACAAAAAAGTAACTAAAAAAAATTGAATATAGCATCACAGATACTCCACATGATGCTAAATGTACAGGAGTAGCCCCCAAAAAATGGACCAGTGGAGAAAAAGAACTGACCATAAAACCCTATTAGCAGTGGATGGTAAACAAACAGCAGTGTCTCACTGTAGAAGTTCCTAAAAGCAAAGAAGCCATGTGTGGAGGGAACTAACTGAAGATGACAAACACCCCAATATGGAAGGAAGAAGGAGGAGGAGGTATACCATGAAAATGTTTAAATATAAGTGGAACACCGAAGAAAGGAGGTGGAAGGCAAACATTAACTGTAGGAATATCGATAGGGTAAAACGAATAGGATTAACAGAGATGCGAATGACATAAAATCAGGAAGAACATCTGCCTGATGGAAAGCTAAGGCAAAAAAGAATTATAGCCAGTATAGAGCAAGGTTTGCAAGTACCCACTTTCAAAAAGAGACAAGAAGATCATCATGAAACAATGTTATGAGAAGGGGAATATACTGTAAAATGTGGCTAAAACAAAACTGAGATACGACTAGCAGATTCTGCAGTAGAGGCCTGGAAGGCAATCCATGATAAGGTGGATGAAAACTGTCAAAATCTAAGTCGGCTGAAAATGGGTTCAGCCATTATAGGAGGAAAGCAAGCAATATTGACAGCACCAAGGGGCACTCACAAATGAAATTAATGGTAAGAATTATTAATTAAACAAAATTAATGGTAAGAAGTATAAACTATAAAGAAAAACGAAAATGAAATAGTCGATATAGTGGAAATGTTAAGAAATTGTGTAGTGAAATAAACATATGTATGTGATGTTATGTGTTGAAGAAAAGATATTTAATCTAATTATTGATTAACCAATAAATAGAACTATAGGTAAACAGAAAATAACAAACACTTATTGAGCCTAATCAAACAAAATGTTTAACCTAATTACTGATTAACGAAAATTAACTAGATGTGATTTTATAAATTAAGGAATTGTGTAGTAACAATAACATATGTATGAGACACATGTATGGAAGAAGAAACAACAGAGTTAAACTAATGATTGATATACCAGTAAGATGAATTACAGGTAATCCTAAAAATACAAAGATCATGATAAGCCTAAGTGAATGGTATAGGAGAAAAGATACAACTAAGACTAACTGCTAACCTAAACTTGACTTTGAGTATTGACCAATCTAACAAAACTTATGTTATGGAACCCAAATTACTACAGATGATAATATTAACAATATAATTATTCAAAAACCATAAAAATAGAACGTCTTATCTTTCCAAAGTTGGCAGCCTGTATTTCAAATGTGTGGGCCCAAAACTCGAGGAGTGGCCCTACAAAAGTCAGTTCATTGGATGATCAATTTCCCAACAAAGTAAAGCTTAAAATCTTCTCGAAGAGTACCGCGACCTGAAGCATGGGTAAATGTGCTAATAGAACATATAACCTTGAAAAGGTAACAAAAAATTCATAATGCAAGATAAAAAATAAAATGCAACTGTGTTGGCAGAAACAACTAAAAAGTTTTTGTAAATTGTAATGACATAATAAGTTCCATAACCAGGTAGAAATATAAAATAATTCCACTTTGGAATAACTCAATAAATTACAAATATCACTATTGTATAATAAAGAGTAAACTTCTTGAGAAAAATTAATACAAAGATACACAAAAAAGTTAAATAAAACACTTGAAGAGAGCATAAACTAAATGTTATAACATGAGTACTGTCAAATGAGAAGTATTAGTTCAGCAGAATTGAATGGGGGGGGGGGAGTCACATGCATCAAGAGTGTGTGTGTGTGTCGTGCTCTTATTGGTGGAGGTTTACCATGTGATAATTTGTCAATTCCAGATGGGTGGGAGTTTCAAGGTTTGTGGAGTGTGCAAAAAGTGTTTTTGCATATAGAAGGCAGCACTGAATGAGAATAGCTATTCATGTGAGAAGATGTAACGTACTGTATCAGAATTAAATAATGCATTTTATGAAAGTCTGGTGCATTTATAACACTGTAAGAGGCTAATCACTCATCATGTACTGTAGTGTTCAACTCACTTGAGTATAATATATTCTCCAATCATGGTCATTAGTATTGTAAATCTTCTTAATACAGTGAACATAGGTAAGCTGAAAAAAACAATTGTATTATAAATCTTTTTAATTATGGCAGCAGACACAAATAAGAATAAAAAGAAGCAACAAATCAAGTATTCTAAATCTTCCTAATTAAGACAAGGAATATAGGTAAGCTGAAAACGAAACTTGATATTCTAATTTTTATGTTCTCAAGACAGTGAAGATGGATAAAGTAAAAAAACTGGGAAATCTAAATTTTTTTCTTTAATAAATTGAGCAAAGGGAAGCTGAAAAACTTTTTAAATTTAAAAAACTATTTAAATTTTTCTTCTTGAGACAATTAAAATAGATGATACTAAAAAAAAGAAATTTAGCTATTAGTCTTTCTAGTTAATAGAAAGAATATAGGTAGGCTGATAAAATTATTTACCTTCTTAACAAACACAACATAAAAAACAACTGAAAGGCATACATAAACCTTAGCAATTGGCCTTTTTATTTTGATAACTTATGTTTTATTGATAGTCTTATTTAAGATTATATCTGAACTCCACATACACAATGTAGCACTGTAAACAAACCCCCTTTTTCTAACTTATTACATATTAAACCTGAATTATAGCAGTCTCTCTCTCTTCAGTCACTACAAAAAGTTATAAAAAAAAAAGAGATACTTACACAGAACTCAAGAGAAAATTATTAGAATATGAAACAAGCATAATTGTATTATTTTACATATCATTTTAAGAGTCAGGTATGTTCTGTTGATAAATGGAAACTATAATGTATTGATTATTAAGTTAAATCATGTACAGGTAATTTCATGACCAAGCAGATGGCTTTCAGCAGCTGGAATATATTTCTATTACAATACCAAATATGTCTGCATAGGGAAGCACATTTTACACTTAATATTACTATTGCAATTGCAAAATACATTTTTTTAATGGTAGAATTTTTATGTATTACATGCATGTTTCAACAGAACTGTAGTTTGTCTTTGTTAGGATTTTAGTTGTACCTTATGAACAAAGCCATATGTAGGGCAGAAGAACCACTCCAGGTGCAAAGCAGTGAGGGGTGACGAAATGACTTAAATGGTTTGCCACAATACTCACATGGAGACAAAAATATGATGGTCTGCACAGGGTGCAAAATTGCCTTGTTACTGCTCTGCCGATAAAGACAGGCTAAAGTTTTGTTTCAACATGTACATGTAGTATAAAAATATATTTTACAGTTAAAACATTTTATTATGCACTTTTAATCATTGATTTCTATATTTTGCAACAATACCAAGTAATCAAAGAATTCTAAAGACAGCATACAGTGAACTTTATGACATCATAATAAAACTATCTTATTTCAGTCAATCAGAAAAACAATATATATAGTAGTTATACCTTAGCTTCTGAGTACCTCCTAGTCCAGTTATTAAGTTTCCAATGTAAAAAAATGGAAGAGGCCATATCTTTAAAAAAAAGGCATGGATAAGTAACAATTGAATAAAACAGTTTCATGTTGCAGAGGTATTGAAAAATAAATATATGCACATAAAAACAAAGAATACAAGTGTACTACAAGCATACATTTTAATGTGATCAAGTAGAAAATACATTACTCTGTCATTTGGGATCTCTGTTATCTGTTAACACATCTATTTTGACAAAGATGTATTTCTTAAAAAGAAGCCTGATGCATGTTATTCATCAGTTCCAAAATGAAAATTTGTTGAAAATTCAACCAAGTAGTTCTTAGGATGCATATAGTGTTGGTTCTCATCATCAGTATACATGCCTTACATAACGATCAAGAGATGGTCATTAAAAAAAAAAAGACCAAATAATTCATAAAAGTTGAATGTCTCTATAATGTGAAAAACAAAACCCATGAAACAACATCCCAAGTTGTATAAATTAAAATAACCTACTGTTCAGAATAAACAAACTATCAATACCTGTTAATATCTTCAAATAAACATACTTACTTCATTTCCTTTAAAATTATTTCTCAGTCACATTTTACATTCAATAAGTATTTATGGCTGATATTCTATCCTATATTCTATGAAGAATAAGTCAGTTCTTTACAAATTACAGCTGTATATCTTGTTTAAAAATGTATAAAACCATCAAAGACATTTACCTTGCAAGGAATGGAAGATGAAAAATCTGGGTAAGTTAAGCATCCAAAGGTTTTCCCAAACCTTAAGATGACTAGAGTTACAATCATCTATAAAATCAAATTATCAAGGAACACATATTACAATAAAATTCATAATAAACACATATTATATCACATGCTCTTAAAACATCCTTTACTAAAAGAAACTATGTTTAGTTTGTTAGTTATTTGTTAGATTCTTAAGACACATGTTCATTATGTTCACTGTTCATCAGTTTCATACACTATTGCATGAAAGTACATAGGTGTAATGTTACACTTAGTAGCATCATTTTAGTGGACACAGTTATATCACATACAATTATAGACATAATGTATATACATGTTTCAATCAAACTAATGAAAATATAATAGCAACTTACCTGTCCTAAACCTAGTGCATGAGATGATGGAAAAACTAAAAAAAAAAAATATTTAAAACAAATTATTACATAATTTTGGTCATGAATGAACATTACTACGTATTTAATACAAATTCTGATTTTGATTGAAAGTTACTGGTTGTTAGCCACACAAACTTAATGGCTGGATGTCAATAAAGCCTAGAATTGTCTATATAAGATAAGGATGAAAATCAGCACATGTGCAATGACAAACACGGTAAATCATTAATGACATTTTGTATCTTTACATCATAATTCCCAAAACGTTAGACACTTACGTGTGTAGATCTAAATGTCAATTAGGATATACTTTCTATGTTAATTATTTCTGAAACAGCCACAGAAAGAAATTACAACTTACTGACAAACCTAATAATAAATATCAAGTCATACTGGGACAGAAGGGTGGACAAAGTGTCAGTACTTATTGGTACATTATACAATATCCACTTAAGGTAACTTCATGTTATCTTTACAGCAATTGAATACATTTGAGGTACCTGCTCGTGTGGTTTTGAAAGAAGCAGGGTTATGTCTTAGTGACAATGAAAACCTTTAGAGGTACCATAAGATTAATATTACATGAGTATAACATCTCAATGTCTTTAGCACTGAGTGCACTGGTAATACTAGCTATATTCAAAATTACAAACTGAGTAATTATTCAAATTTAGCATATCATGTTCTCTTTAAAACATGGAGTTGAAGCTTGAAACCAACTAACATTCCTTATTCACAACACTTACTGCAAGTCTCAATTCCATTCTTCACAGAAAAACATTCCAAGTTAGATTACCACTTTACTTAGGCCATCTTAGGCCCTAATGACACCTATCCTTACTAGGAGTTTACCACATAATTCAAGTAGTGGTTCAAAATTACTAGGTGCTCACTACACAAGTCTGGTTGTGATTAGAAATTACAAGCAATTTATTACACAAGATTAGTGTTAAGTGAAACTTACTGCTGTTGGTGTTTAATACACAACTCTCTTTGTGATTGCAGACTACTAGGAAAATACTTTATCTAAATGTACTGGTTTTAATGTAATTACCTATGCTTAATTCTTACAACAACAAAAATAAACAAAGACAATTTTATTAAATAAACTTTTAAACCAGTTACAAGGGAAGGTGAAAACAAGAAAAAAAAATTACAATGGTTTGTCCAATTAAAAAATTATACATTAAATATAAATTTATTGAACATTGTGTCATTGCCAATTAGAAATACTGCTTAAGATTGAAAAATACATCTGTACTATACAACAGGGTGAATTTTTTAGCAGTTTAATATTTAATTTTTATGATAATATGTTACTTTAATATTATAGTAGATATGTTAATATAAATGTTGATACAAATTTTTTTAGAGATAATTAATTGTTAATGTAATTCATTATACTATGATAATTAATCCCACAAATTTGCAAAAGAAATAAACAACACTATTGCTAAGAGGTCAAAAAGAACTATGGACAGATTATATAAAACACACTATATGGAAAAGATATTTGCTCTTATACATATTTACATTTTACTTTATTTCTGAAGTCAGGCCATTAAGTTGTTATTTAATTTGTGACTATTTGTTAAAATGTTTGAAACCTGATGTAGGTTCCATAGATAATATGTATATAACCATACTACCAATTTTTATTAATAACTTACACACTGATATAGGTCAAGTCAAAAATCTTGGAATAATAGTACCATCACTAAGGTCATTTAGAGGTTATGGCTATTCTTTTGAATATATGAACTTTAAATATTTTAAAATTCACAGCAAAGAAACTGAATCCAGCACTGGAAAACAGCAAAATGAAAGAAAATAATTTACTGCAGTAGCAAATCCATCAATCATAAACCAACTGAACTGATGGCACTATCACTAAAATACCCAAGTGTGAAGAGTCAACTCTGTTGGAAGAACCCAACAATCTCTGGATAGAGAATCTGCAATAATGTTCATAACACCTGGCACATGACATGATGAGAATAGTGCCAAAGAAGTAGAGAGACTGCAGCAAAACAAAGGCTGTGAGATCAAGTACAATCTTGTTTGTTGATACATTGCCATCATAGTAGAACACAGCATTATTGTAACAAGGTAAGAAATCCTGAAATGGATATTGAACTACCAAATGCTCCAGAAGATTGATATGAGAAAGAAATTTAGAGGATGCTGAAGAAAAGGGAAGCCTACATTGGTAATATTTTGATTGAGCCACATTTGAAGATAATCAAGAGCAGTAGGAGAAAGGTAATTCTCCGAGACAATGGACCTGAGGATAGATGCTACTGAGAAACAAGATCTCAAGTTATCATTTTCCTAATGTGAAAATGTATTTCCAAACATGCTTACTTCCGCTGGCACTTACAGCTATTTCTTGATCTTCATCTTTGCCATCTAAACATCATGTTTGTTTGCTCCAGTCTTTATACCCAACTCGACTGCCCTCGGCAATATCTAATTTGCAAAACTTTACAGCAGCCTTCACACGTCCTCTATGCAGGTAGTGTATATAAGCACTGTATGTTGACAATATAATTACTTTTGTGAGACTTACCCTATCCCAGTCACTAACACTGGCTTTTAGTGGGGAGGAAGCGAGGGAGATTGTCAGCAGAGGTAAGCATATTTCGAAATACATGTTCAGATTAGGAAAATGATAACTTCCAAAACATACATATCTCCATTGACACTTATAACTAGAATACCATATTGAGAAAGCGGAGGGGCCAGTGAGGGTATAGTTCATACAGAAAGTGTCTGCATAGAACAAAGGTGTACCATGAGAGGTGGTACCCAAGCAGGGAAAACTGCACTACTACTAACTGGGTCATCAACTTACTGTGAGTCAATAAAGGAAGTGCCAACTGTGAGAGAATAATCTAAACGTCTAAATAATGATGAAAATTGATATTTAGTGCATGCAGAAGACCAACAAATGATTAGACTACACATGTGAAGACATAAGATGCCAAAACCAGATCAAAAGGGGAGAGCCATGAAGAGATAATTCTCTCTCTCTAATGGGAAAGATTATCAAAATGTTGAAAAGATGGGTGAATTGGAATATATAAATAAGCATCTTTGACATCCACTTTTTTCACTCAAAAATTGTGATGAAGGAACTTTAATAAGATTTTCATAGTTTCTATCTTGAAATAAGGTATGTCCAAATAATAACTAAGGTTGGAAAGACCTAATGTACTGATTTCCAATCTCCTGTTGTATTCACCTCCACCAAAATACAAAGAGTAAAAACCTGGGAAAACATGAAGTACTACTTCTATAGCCCATTTCAGGGGTGTGAAACTTCCTGATCTAAATTTGAGTACAAAGGGGATTGGATAGAAGATGAGGAGAGGCTGGAAAAGATGGAACTTAGGAGGAGGATGAAAGTGGAAAGAAAAATCTGATGAGGAGAAGGGTCCTGAAGTCAATGGTTCCACAGAAGAATACATAATTCTAGATGACCCCCCAAAAAGTCTGAGAAGAGGAGCCACCAGGAAAGGAAGTCAATCCCTGGGCTGAGAAGACCATCTCTAATAGCTTCTAATTTTTGCAACTTGAAAGGAGTGACAAAACCCAATAAAACATGGAAGGCTGAAAAACATGCTTAATATAACTAGAAATTAAAAAGCAGGACAACAACCTGAAGTAACACATGAAATCAGAGCCTTAATCACCTCCTGGTAACAAGCTTCATCTGGCTGAGAAATCAATTTGGGAGAAATATCAGCAAAAACAAAAGTTTGCAAGAAAGAAGACCAATGGATCATAAACCTTAGATTTTCTGCATCAACAAGTACTCCAAATAACATGTACAAGGAAGATAACTTCCCAACTCATACCGGTTTGCATGATTGTTTCACCCCTTAAAATGAGCCACCATACTCCAGGGAGCAGACACAGAGATTCCACTTAATAGCCATTGTAGTATCTAAATATTTTACCTTACAAATGTAACAGGGGTCTATATTAAAGAAAGAGTAGCCAGAATCAAAGCAAGATAAATTTAATTTAATCACACAGTATATAATATTTACTTTATCAGAGAAACATTTATGTTAGATGTTATTTGATTTGCCTTCATCGTAACAGAGGGCTATATATATACATATATTATGATTATTTATTTGTGAAAACTAGAATATTTACTTTATTTTATAAGTTATGGTTGGTGAGCCATATCATCATTATTTCCCTTACTGCTTACTATTTTAATGCTGTTATGTGATTCGTACATTTGCAAAAATGATCATTACTGGGATTGGTGTGCCAACCTCAAGTGATAAGTTTTGTAACTCTTCTTAGTCATTCATATATATATGTTTGTGCAGCAATCTTTCTACCTTTGGTTGCAGACAAATGTGAGCAAGTAATTACTTTTATTGAAATGGTTCATTTGTTTGTTGTTAAACACAAAGCTACACAACAGGCTATCTGTGCTATGTCCATCACAGGTATTGATTTACTGAAATGTAAAAGCAAGGAAAACAAATTATTGAAAAATAAAACAAAACAGATTACAGTGATAAGTAAACTTTCTTCCAAAATTGGCATTCCTCTCTTTGTACCAATACTTACCAACTGTATGAACTGTCTAAAGATGACTTCAATTGAATAAACTATTTGGAAAATTAACAGGAAAATCTTCTTGATCAGGATGTGCTTATGTTTTGTTTTTTCTTTAGACATGGCCCCACAAATTACCAACTTGGTTAGATACCTTGACTACTGGTGGAGTTGTACTGAATCATATTAAATAATGTTTTATATTTCTGCCAGTTAAAACACTCAGTGTAAAGATTTGACTAAAATAATGGATGAAGTTGCTCATTCTTTATGTAAAATACAAAGGGAACCTAAGCAGGAATTTAGTGGTATTAATATGAATATATATGGTAATTTTCATTTAAATTTTCTGTGACTCATTTTGTCACAATTGTCCCTAATTTTGAATTGACAGACCCAATTCTTGGGCCACCCTAATATGATAGTTAGATTTGAGTTTCACTTTTGTGCTCATAGTCTAAAAGTGGGGAAGGTAATTTATTTTATGTGAAAACAGGACATGAACAATGAACTCTTAGTTTCCCACTCTGGCAAACTAACCATTAAACTTTTTACTTGTAACATATTAGCACCATTTTAATTTCTGTAAATTCAGAGATATAAAAACCAGAGTAAAACAGTATTGGCAAAAACATTTAAGGTAATTGGTTATAACTAGTGTTTTCATTATGATAATGATGAACAAAAAGTCAGTTCACTTATAGCGATGTTGATAAAACCAATTACTATCATTGACAGCACTACCAGTTATGAGAAACCAATAACCACCAGAAAGTGGACCTTAACATACACGCAATAAAAAACACCTTGATACTTAAAGGCTGTCCTTACACACCTATAATCTATAATTTTTCAGGAAATTATAGATTATCTTCTTAAGCTTCTATAAATTGCTGGCTTCCACTTCTGATGACAACTACACATTCCATAACCCAACCACCATGTTAGAAAATATAAAGCTACCTTAACTGGAGCCTAACATGCCTTCTTCAAATTTTAATTCTCTATCCTCTCATCTTATTATCTTCAGAACATAGCCCAAAGAAATCAAAGGCTTTTATCTCATTGATCCAATGGATATTATAATATTGTAAGCTTCATTATAATCATCTCTTACTCTTCTTTTCTCAAGAAGAAGCAAGTTGAGAGATTTTAACCTATCTCTTCCATCGATCAATCACCCTAGTAGCCCTCCTCTAAACACTTTCCAAATGAGTTAATACTCTTTCTTAAATATGGAGACCAAAACTGTAGTAGACCTAACTAATCATTTGTATAGAAAGATAATTATCTCTTTTGCTTTTAAACAATATATCTATAAATCCATTTTAAAAATCTATTAGCTTTACTACTAGCAATGAAGTATTGCTTCAGTATTGAGATCATATTCTTCACTCATGCATCTGAGTGAGTTTCCATCTATATTACACATAATAATAAGTTGGCAAACAACTATTTATGAGCATACTAATGTTCTGTTGAAACAAGTAGTATGCTCCCTTCAAAATAAGTCACATCATAATGCTTATAAATCATTGTTTGCCAACTTATTATTATTATTATTATATTATTCTAATGTGCTTCCTTACTCAAGTATACTAAACTAAACATGTTATTGAAATGATGATGACCCAAATGCATTAACTTCACTCAGTGGTGAATCCAGAACAAATCTGAAAGGAGGAGAAGGAAGGGAGAGCTTGTATTGGGGGTGCCACTGTCACTGTTTACAAACATTATAAATTGTATTTTAACCCCAAAGCTTATCATAGTATCATTCAGCAGTAGAGCAGCTTAATGCACATGTAAACTTACTAACTTACTTACATGAAAGGTTCAACTGTAAATCTTTTTACTCACTTTGTAATCTGCATGCTTGTCTGCTTGACCACAATTTAATTTTCGGGTTCCTAATTTTCCTATTCCATAATGACTGTTCCACCATTGGTATCATACAACACCATCTTGAGGTCGAGGTTCAAAACCTCTCAATAGCTGCATATAAAGGCTGTCCAAGGAACATGTTGACACAAATACTCACTTTTTACAGGCTTTATAACATGATATTGCTTGATTAATTTCAATCAATATGGATTGCTAGGTTGCTTGGATATCTGATATTTTAATGTAAAAATCCAGTACAAACACAACTCAAGTTACTGAAACCCGTATGCTGCGTTTTGATAAACAATATTAAAACTTTTTTTTTTTCCCATAAAAAAAAAGAGCACATAAGTGGCATGACCCTTGAAAAGGGGTGCATCATTTTGGAAATAGGGTGCCAGACCCGTGTCAGATCGGCAAGAGGAGGCAACTGGAGGCAGTTGTCCCTCCCCTTAAATCCACCACTCCTTTTACTTAGTATAATCAAAAGTCATTTGCTAAATATCTATCTGTCCAACTTACCATTTTATCTAAGTCATTCTGTAATATATTTAACATTCTCAAAACATATCCAAGAGCTTAGTCATCAGGAAACTTTACGAATGTACTAATTATGTCTCTACCATCATCATTTAAGTAAATAAAAGCAAAGGCCTAAGTTCTGATCATTGAGGTATTTCCTAGTCACAAGAGTACAGTTTGACTAAACTTCATTAATAACAACCTTCTGCATTCTCCCATCTAACCACTGTAAAATCCAATTAACTGGTCTTTCCCCAGCCCCTACCTATGGGATTTTCTTGAATAATCTTTAGTGTGTCACTTTATCAAAAGTTTTTTAAAAATCTAAGTACCCCATGTTTATAAAAACATAAACCTGTATTTAATACTAATATACTGTTGCGTCAGCGAGGTCACGTGACTCGTTCTCTCGAACCTACGGGAATTGTCGGAAGATTACTAGATATAGGGTAGTCTGGTATATATAAGAGGGTGACAACGTGACAATAATGTGTGTGTAGGTCGTGAGTAATTGATCTGTAGTGAGAAAGTATTGTTGAAGTTAACGTTTGTTTTAGCGCGAATGTTGAAATTAAGTGTATCGTGAAGTTATATTCAGAAAGAATAAGCCAGTTTCATTAAGTAAGGACTTGTGTCGCTAAAGTTTCGTCAGAGCGAAGTTACGGAAAGTTAATTAACAAACGGAGACGAAACAAATTGGTGTCAGAGAGTGGGACAAAAAAAAAAAAAATGGAAACGAGAAGCAG